TGTAACACCCCTTTCATGTAACATCCCTTTCATGTAACACCCCTTTCATGTAACACACCCTTTCATGTACCACTCCTTTCATGTAACACCCCTTTCATGTTAGACACCTTTCATGTAACACCCCTTTCATGTAACACCCCTTTCATGTAACACCCCTTTCATGTAACACCCCTTTCATGTAACATCCCTTTCATGTCACACACCCTTTCATGTAACACCCCTTTCATGTAACCCACCTTTCAAGTAACACAACTTTCATGTAACACCCCTTTCATGTAACACTCCTTTCATGTAACATCCCTTTCATGTAACACCCCTTTCATGTAACACCCCTTTCATGTAACACCCCTTTCATGTAACATCCCTTTCATGTAACACACCCTTTCATGTAACACCCCTTTCATGTAACCCACCTTTCAAGTAACACAACTTTCATGTAACACCCCTTTCATGTAACACTCCTTTCATGTAACACCCCTTTCATGTAACACTCCTTTCATGTAACATCCCTTTCTTGTAACACCCCTTTCATTTAACACCCCTTTCATATAACACCCCTTTCTTGTAAGACCCCTTTCATGACTATGTCGGAAAGTAAATTAAAAGTAAAAATGAAAATGTGTAATAATTCGTGGCCAAAAATTGGACTGTATGTGATTTTGTGACTTGGGTATTATGTAATCCTCTACTTTCTCAAATCCCTGGATCCGCCACTGCTTGTTGTCATGGTAAATGCACTGAGCACATGATCGCTATTTTCTACTATACTACTGTCCTAGGCTCCTAGCATGGAGTCGTATCAATAAGGCCTGACTGGCTGGATATAGATTATAGAGATCGATAATCAGTAACTAAATATTGATCAATTATTGATATGTATCGGAGAAGTAACTTTAAGCAAATATGCAAGAGTCCCAAAAGAAATCAACATTTTTCACGCCACTGGCAAGCAGTGACATAGTTATGCATAGATTACTTTGTGGACATTTGAGATAAAACAAAAACAATTGCTTTCCGTTCTCGACAATTAACATTATTGACAATAGCAAGTCTGTTTTGGTAAATCTGAACTTTATTTCGTCATGTAAGTTTATCCATGACAAAAAATTTATATTGATAATCGTTAATATTTCTTCCCGTCGACGATAATTTTTATTATCGATCTTGTTAGCCAGCCCTAGTATTAATGTCAGTCCACCAGAATACTGAGTATTGATCTGCAGAGCCGCATTTCTAATGCATGATGGATATCAATAATATGTCCTCTTACCGTTATGTCTGTCAACAGGGGTGTTTGTCACCGCGATAATACACCTACCAATGTATGTCATTGTTTTATTACTGGCGGATGTTTAGAGTTGATGTGAACAAGGCATAGCTCTTATTTTGGACATAGGTGACAGCAAGAGGGAATTATTTTCAACTGCACAGAAAATTGTAAGTTTGGATTTCTTGTGATGATGCTTTTACTTTAATCTGTCAAGTCTCTGAATGTAGGATGAAGACCAATTCAGTGTTCAAAATTAACATCAGTCTGCTAAGTTGGTATATTTCTGGAAAGGGTAATAGTGTGTCCTTGTGGATGACATCTTTACCATGATGCTCATGGCAGTTTAATCTGTTGCAGTGTTGTAGCCCTAAATGAAACAAGTCTAAATTTGCCATAGTTTCAGGGCGACTATACTTGTCGTAAAAGGCGACTAACTGGATCGGGTGGTCAGGCTCGCTGACTTGGTTGATGCATATCATCGTATCCCAATTGCTTGGATCGATGCACATGATATTAATCACTGGATTGTCTGGTCCAGACTCGATTATTTGAAGACCACCGTCATATAACTGTAATATAGCTGAGTGTGTCGTTAAACAACAAACCCACCAACCAATCAACCAATATTTACCTCTGTCGTTTTGACAGCATGACGTATCACATTTTAAACAAATCGGATAAACTGCGCATGCTAGTATGTTATGGTTATAATGACTGTCATGAAAGAAAGCGAAGAATCAACTACTGAAGTATGTCAATGTTCACAGTTAGGCTTCCCTTCATCAAGGACTTCGTAGAACTGATAAGCATTTATATTTCAAAAGGGGTGGTGAGTAGTCCTGTGGTTAATGTGTTCACTCGTCCGATCATTCCCTTATTCATTTCATTCCCCACAAGCCTTTCCTTGTGTCCCCCGCTTTGATATTGCTGGAATATTGCTAAAAATTTGATTTGAACCCAGTTTAGTCACTTAAATTCACTCACTAACTCACTCTCCTGTATAGGAAAAATACTTTTCATAAAGGTGCTGAACCCAGTTTATTCACTTTTGATTCCACCTGTGAAGATCCGGAATAGAATAGATCTTCAGCAACCCTTGCTTGCCGTAAATGACGACTATGCTTGTTGTAAGAGGTGACTGACCGGTTTTCAGACTCACTAACTTGGTTGATGCATGTCCTAGATCCAAATTGCGTGGATCGATGCTCATGATGTCAATCACTGGATTGTCTGGTTCAGACTCAATTATTGACAGAAAGCCATCATATAGCTGGTATATTGCTGAGTGAGTCGTTTAACAACAAACAAACATACAAACAGACAGACACTTATGATTCACTGAGCTACATTTCAAAAGAAACTCTTTGTAGTGTTGGAGCATTTATAGCACAATTGACGTAGATAGTCGTACAGCTTAAGCTACTAGAGTATCCACTATGTTGTAATTACAATACCTTATCACTATCATGCCTCCCAATCTGCCATCAACGAGCTGAACTAGTCCGATGTGTAAACATGACCATTGATCTGTCCTGGTATCTATGCCACAGGACACAGCTACCATACTCTCCATAATATGCGCCCAGGTACACTGTACTTAGATAATTGACAAAGGGGGTTGCTTATTGAAACCATTCACAACTTGAATACCGTATTCGACGTAATAAGCACTCCCTCTAATAAGCGCCCACCGCGATATTTGCTAATATATTGGCTAGTGAACAATCTCAATTAGCACCCCTTCTGATAGATCAATGTACACAACTTATTTATTCGTGCATAATACGCACTCATGTGTTATATGCACCCTTAATTATGGGCAATTAAATCCTGGAAAAATTTATGTTGTATATAAACATTTCAGGCTGTCAGCATAAACCAAGAAATTTACGATCTTTCAACCCTTTTTTTTCCCACCAAAATAATATTCTAATAAGAGCCCCCTATTTCTAAATTTGAGAGTGCCCTGGGCGTTTATTATGTCAAATACGGTATGTTTTCAGAGATCGAGCAGTAGTGAACAAACTTATTTCAAACATTGATGATCTTTCAACTCTTTTTTTTCCACCAAAATAATATTCTAATAAGAGCCCCCTATTTCTAAATTTGAGAGCGCCCTGGGCGCTTATGTCAAATACGGTATGTTTCTAGAGATCGAGCAGTAGTGAACAAACTTATTTCAAACATCGATGAAACCAATATGTTTTCGATAATAGTTACGAGACAATACCCCTTCTGCCCAACTGTATCCTGTAGTATACACAGGGGTATAGCTGGCCCAATCGTCTAAGGTGCCACAATTCGCTGTGCAAAGTTGTGTCCCTTGGACGTACCAGAAACATATAATTGTGGGTTCAAATTCCGGTTTGCCCTGATTATGTTTCTCAGTTTGTCAGCCCTCTTCCTGTACTCGGGGGTTTCGTGGTAAACATCTGAAACCTGCATCACTTTGGACTTTCCTCAAACATAAAACTGACACGCCGTGACATCATTGTAACACTGTTAAAAGCGGTGTTAAACCTAACTCACTCACTCACTCATTGTATTATAAGCAAAAGAATATGAAGTGTAATGTAAATTTTAGTCCCTCAAGTTGAGATAGCTTATAGAGATTATTAACAGATTGGTCTAGAATTTGTTAGAGGGCACTTATCAAAGCAGGACGCCAGAGACCATATATCAGTATATGGTCGCTGAGGACGCTTCATACAGTAAATATGGTAAGTCTGATTTTGCAGGACATTTAGAATTGTTATCCTACAATTATACTAACAGAAACAAGAAGTTAATGTTAGAATCATGGGAGCATATTTTGTAATAACAAAACAATTATGATCAGTGTTCCTGTTTACCGGTAATTACCAGTTTTTTACCGGTAAAATTAGGCGTGGACCGGTAATTCATGTGACTGCCAGTCCCTGTGGACCGGCATGTAAAGTACCTTATAAATCTTTGTTGTTGAACAATACATCGGTGATATGCATATAAGTACATTTTTCAAACAAAGTCAGCTTGTCTGTTACCATCAGGGTTTCCCCTTGTCTATTTCTAGGTTAAACATCCTATTGTAGCGACTTTGTCTCGAAATATTAAAAAACAAAGAGAAAATTGCGTCTGTAGTTTGTGTGAATGACGTATAGATCTAACTAAGTTACTTCAGAGATGACATCCTTGCACTGAACATGAAAATCAAAGAATTAAAACCAAATAATTTTGACACATTTTGTTGAAAGTTGGGACTGAAAAATTAGTGGGGACTGGTAATTTTTAGAGTTGCCTTTCAAAAGCCAGCAGGAATACTGATGATACACTATATACATTACTCACAATGAAGGCGAGGGAGTATGTGTATCAGACATGTTATATACAACACTCCGACCAATGTAAGCCAGTCAATAAACCTGGACTTTGTGTATTATCTTCTGAGATGGGCTGACCAGGTTGTGGTAGATTGTAAATGGACACCACTGACAGTGTAAATTATGTTCAGTCTTCAGATCTAGGTCAGATTGTGTAGCTTTTCCTTTATGCTGATAGTAGTTGAAAGAAGTGACTATGTTATATTGTGAAATATTAAACCAGGACTGTGGCTGTTGTATTTTGATATGTGTCCACCTCTGGCATAGATACAACTTTGAGTAAATAAATTATGAGCAAAAGTCCCAATAGCAAGCGAGATACCACGTCTGACTAAGTCAGGCACAACGACTACGTCAGCCGTCAGATTACATTGCGCAATGTACATGCTTAGGTTACAGAGGAAATATCCGACAGCAATTGTCCGGACACATAGCACTACCCTAGCAGGTTGGGTGAAGGTAGAGACTGAAGTGTTTTCTGCATTGTTCGTTATTGTGGATTTATACAAATTACAATCTTTGTTGTCAAAATGGCTGACGGCAAAGCCACTGGTGAGCCTGGAGGTGAGATATGTTTTATTTCAGAAAAAGACAACTTAGTTTTCAAATTGTTTAGGAACATTATCACAGCAAATATGTGAGGATATGAAAATGTTATATTGATATGTATGCTGAGAGGGCCTAGATTTTGTCATTTGGCTGTCTTAGCAAGTATTATTCAAGTTATTCAAAACTCACTTTGTTTAGCCTATATCATTATGATATATTGGTCGATAATGTAGATAAGAGCTGTGAAGGACCCATGAACTGGGTACCTGCTATGTGTGGTGGATGTAAAAAGCCTACAGCTCCCTCAGACAGCTTGTGTTGTATACATCACTGTGTTTTAGTGTCAGCCCTGAAAAGCCTTGAAAATCACCCCCAAAAAGCTTGAAAAGACTGAAATTTATAAATGAGATAAACACACAAAAACATGTACCAAGGATGTACAAGTGTGATTTGGCACAGTGATAGATTTTTGTGCCACAAGCCATGAAGAATTCATGGCAGACTTAATTAATGTTTGGCGAAATTAAATCTTGTTGGAAACTTTGTGATGGTCATACTGCTTTTAAGGTCTCGCGACTAATATACAGTATGTTGGTTTTAATAAAATATTGTATTATTCACACCACTGCAACCCTTCTGGTTCTGGTCATGCAGAAGCTTTATCTCTTGATCAGGACTGTTTCGCAATCCTGAAACTTGTAAGCTATTGTGTGAGATATTACGAAATGTAGAAAAGGTTTTGCGTTTCAAGTATATTTAAAGATCTTATCCTAGTGCATGATTCATTTCCTATTATTTCAAAATAGGTATTTAAACGAATGAAGTGTATCACTCTCTCACTCTTTTCCAATTCCTTTCACATTAATTTTCATACATGTCAAAGTTGTAAGCAGTATGTAGAATGTTTTTTTGTTTATTTGTTGTTTAACGCCACACTCAGAAATATTCCAGTTATATCACAGCAGTCTGTAAAACAAGCCTGACCACCCGACCCCATTTGTCGTCTTTTACGGCAAGCAAGGGTTGCTGAAAACATATTCTACCCTTGATCTTCATAGGCCTTGCACTGGGTTTTATTTGAGACAATTTGTTTTTATATTGTATTTTGTTGTTTTTGTTGTTAGGTAGATAGGCTATTTTTAGGAGTGAATTTAGACACTGGAATTTTAATCTAGGTCAACAAAACTAAATATTGCAAAAAAGAATTTGAGACTTGCATCACTTCGGGTTTTCCTCCCACATTAAACTGACACGCCGTGATATAACAGGAATAATGTTCAAAGTGGTGTTAAACCCGACTCACTCACTCACTCACTCACTCACTCACTCACTCACTCACTCACTCACTCACTCACTCACTCACTCACTCACTCACTCACCCTCCCTTCCTCGCAGCAGGAAATTATCAGCGATAGAAACTCACTCACCCTCCCTTCCTCGCAGCAGGAAATTATCAGCGATAGAAACTAACATTTTTAGTCCATTAGTCCTTAGATCCGGAGTAGAATAGGCCTTCAGCAACCCATGCTTGCCGTAAAAGGCAACTATGCTTGTCGTAAGAGGCGACTTACAGGATTGGGTGGTCAGACTCACTGACTTTGTTGATGCATGTCATCGTATCCAAATTGTGTTGATCGATGCTCATGATGTCAATCACTGGATTGTCTGGTACAAACTCGATTATTTTACAGATCACTGTCATATAGCTAGAATATTGCTGAGAGCGTTATCAAACAAACAAACATGTATTTGAGCCACCATTGTCATAGGTGGATCCAGAGGGGGTCCAGAGGGTCAGGATCCCTCTTTTGAAAACCAAATGTATGTTGTAGGCAGTAAAACTGACTGAGAGTGGATTTTGATATTTTGGACCCTTCCCTTTTAAAAATGCTGGATCCGCCCTTGCATTATGGTTTCAAGGCTGTTAGCACATACAACACAACACAATAAATCAGGATTACTTCCTTGTCATACCATGGGGCGTTGTGCTGAGCTCTGTAGTGTAAGTAGGTATGGGCATGGTATAGTTGATATACACTGGTTGCAAACACGATAAGTCCATTGTGGTCTATTTCTTCAGCCCAATTTGTTTCCATAAAGAATGACAAACAACAACACCAAAGGTCATTCTGTGCACAATATATCTAGAATTCTGTGCTTGATGTCACAGTCACTGGTAGCATGTTAACCTGACTCTCTCCCTCCCTCTCTCTCTCCTTCCCTCCTTTGCTTCCTCACTCTGTTGGTCCCTCCCTTCTCTCTCCCTCCTGTCAATGTGACATCACAGTATTGTAGGGATACATCGTAGTATTGTAGGGTCACATCATAGTATTGTAGCATGAATTCAGAGTATTGTAGGGTCACATCATAGTATTGTAGGGTCACGTCATAGTATTGTAGTGTGAATTCATAGTATTGTAGGGTCACTTCGTAGTATTGTAGGGTCACGTCATAGTATTGTAGGGTCACGTCGTAGTATTGTTGGGTCACGTCATAGTATTGTAGGGTCACATCATAGTATTGTAGCATGAATTCAGAGTATTGTAGGGTCACGTCATAGTATTGTAGGGTCACGTCATAGTATTGTAGTGTGAATTCATAGTATTGTAGGGTCACTTCGTAGTATTGTAGGGTCACGTCATAGTATTGTAGGGTCACGTCGTAGTATTGTTGGGTCACGTCATAGTATTGTAGGGTCACATCATAGTATTGTAGCATGAATTCCTAGTATTGTAGGGTCACATCATAGTATTGTAGGGTCACGTCATAGTATTGTAGTGTGAATTCATAGTATTGTAGGGTCACTTCGTAGTATTGTAGGGTCACATCATAGTATTGTAGGGTCACGTCGTAGTATTGTTGGGTCACGTCATAGTATTGTAGGGTCACGTCATAGTATTGTAGGGTCACATCATAGTATTGTAGGGTCACATCATAGTATTGTAGCATGAATTCCTAGTATTGTAGGGTCACATCATAGTATTGTAGGGTCACGTCATAGTATTGTAGTGTGAATTCATAGTATTGTAGGGTCACTTCGTAGTATTGTAGGGTCACGTCATAGTATTGTAGGGTCACGTCGTAGTATTGTTGGGTCACGTCATAGTATTGTAGGGTCACGTCATAGTATTGTAGGGTCACATCATAGTATTGTAGGGTCACGTCATAGTATTGTAGGGTCACATCATAGTATTGTAGGGTCACGTCATAGTATTGTAGTGTGAATTCCTAGTATTGTAGGGTCACATCATAGTATTGTAGCATGAATTCATAGTATTGTAGGGTAGTATTGTTCATAGTATTGTAGCATGACGTCATAGTATTGTAGGGTCATGTCATAGTATTGTAGTGTGAATTCCTAGTATTGTAGGGTCACATCATAGTATTGTAGCATGAATTCATAGTATTGTAAGGTCACGTCGTAGTATTGTAGGGTCACATCATAGTATTGTAGGGTGACATCGTAGTATTGTAGGGTCACGTCGTAGTAATGTAGGGTAACTCCGCTTTTACCAATATTCCAGTTATATCACGGTCTGTCAGGTTAATGTGGGAGGAAAGCCCAAAGTGATGCAGGTCTCAGATGTTTACCACTTCGGTGAAACCCACGAGTACGGGTATGGTGTTGACAAACCTAGAAACATAATTGGGGCGACCTTTTTTGAACCCACAATCATAGGTTTCTTGTGTGACCAAGGGACGCAACTCTTCAAAGTTAATTGTGGCACCTTAGACGATTGACACCAGTTATACAAGGGATTGGCTAATACTGATCAATTTGTCTTAATATGATTATGAATATCAAATTTATGTGGTTGATTCATATTTGAAATACGCTGATTAATCACAAATATTCTTTGTGTGAAGTGTTTGCTAAAAGATGTATGTAAATTTTATCATTTATTCTCCCACATGTAAATCATGGTAGGGCCAATCTCATTAAAATCATATCTTAGTTCTCGCTACCGCTAAACAAAGATCTGAGGACATCCCATTAGGAGTCACGTCAGAACAACCTTTCATCCGACCAGTCAGAGCGTCACTTACAAGATCATGCAAGTGACAGTCGGAATGTGATTTCTAATCATGCAGCCTCGAAAACTTTAAAACAGAGTATTCCGAACAATAGTTACAGGCTTAACCACTGAATCTATACAATCTAGACCATATATTAGCCATTCCAGAATGTTCTTTTGTTCAGGTTTCAAATTTTTAAGCGAGAATTTGTCAAAATATGTTTTGAAGCGTAGTCGCCAATTTGAATTAGTGCTGTAAAGCACGAGAGAGCTGCCTTATAATTGGCTAATGTCGACTTTTTGTCAGTAATATCTTTGGACGATCAGAGTTCGCGAAAGGTCAGTCTGACGTGACCCGTAATGGGATGTCCTCAGATCTTTGTTTAGCGGCAGCAGTATTTCAGCTATATGACGGCAGTCTGTAAATAATCGAGTCCGGACGAGACAGTCTTATATGCCTGACCACCCTCTCCCCTTAGTCGCCTCTCAAGACAAGCATAGTTGCCTCTTATGGCATGCATGGGTTGCTGAAGACCTATTCTACCCCGGATCTTCACGGGTTCTCTAAATAATCGCGTATGAACCAGACAATCCAGTGATTGACATCATGAGCATCGATCCAAGCAATTGGGTTATGATGACAAGCATCAACCAATTCAGCAAGCTTGACCAACCGATCCCCTTAGTCGCATCTTTCAAAAGGCATAGTTGCCTCTTATGGCAAGCATGAACAATGACGAAATGGCCTAAACATATGCCACATCATCACATGACATGTTTGATTTTGAAAAGGCTTGATGTAGACACTATTGCATAAAATAGAAATAATTTACATCACATTTTCTTGTATTGTATTCAGTGGCGTTTAGTATTCTGCCCTAAGGGCAGCAAAATGTCCTAAATGGGAAATGCTTCAGCTAACATAGGGTTAACACATGTGACTATGTCATCCTTTTCCTTCCTTCACTGACTCTTATCTAATAACACCACCACGATTTATTTCCTTCTAGGCTGTTCATTAGGTTGTGTCATATGTAGAGTCAGCAAATCCAGGATTTAAAGGCTCTGACCATCAAATATTCCGGTACTGGGAGGAGTTGGGTTGGGGAACATCCATATTCTTAAGGGGACCACAAAGCTTTTTTTTTCAGGATATCCAGCATGTTATGTTGACATGTACTTTTTTGTACAACCTGAAGCAAAATTATATTTCCCAGCATTTTCCCCAGAATGAATTATGTTTTTTGACAAAAATCCCATCCCACAAAAACGAAACGAAATGCTAATAAATAAATAAATAAATAAATAAATAAATAAATAAATAAATGTTTTTTGACAAAAATCCCATCCCACAAAAAGGAAACGAAATGCTAATAAATAAATAAATAAATAAATAAATAAATAAATAAATAAAATAAACACAGTTTGCCCATGGATTGTCCCTCCATCAAGAGCTGTTCACCAAGTGTTGGAACTGTTTCACTCTGCTATTTAAGAATTGTTAACAAAAATATTCTTTTGCATTTTCAAGGCAACAAGTTGGACATTGATTCAAATAAGGGTAGTATTCGTTTTCCGGAATGTGACTGCTAAATATTTCTTCATGAACACGTTGAGTCTTCAAGACTTGCAACAGTGGTGTTATATTTTTAATAACACCGTCCATTATATTAGAAAAATGTGGTATAGACCAGTCACTAATTTTCAGGATTCCTGTTTTTCAGACAAAATGAACCAGCCACCCCCAATTTCCATGCAGCCGCAACCAGGAGCTTACAATGGTGAGTGACTTAGTTCAAGGTATGTGTTGTCATGTGTATTGATTCACACTATAGAAATCTGCACCTGCTTGACTTGTGGCAGGCATATTTATGATAAACTTTTCCAGGTCTAGATTAGCTTATTGAAATGAAAGTGGCGATCACTACTGTAAACATACAGACGTGCACTTTTGGTAAGCAATAATACAAAAGTCAACTTTGCAAAGTGAAGTCAGGATTTTGATTTCATTTAACTATATATCAGGACATCAAATGTTTAAAAGATATTTGTAAAAAATGTTTATTTTTTCATATGAACACCTTAACTAATTATTTGGAATGATTTTATTGATACTGTGGACAATTCAAATAATGACTGTTCGTTTCAGTAAACCTTTGTAAGTTTTACACGTTTAATCACAGCTTTCGACTCGGATGTTAACATGCTGCAGTCTATTTGATGAATTCTGTGACAGAAAAATGCAAAATTCTGCAGAAGTTCTGCACAAATAGTTGTTTTCTGCAAGATAGTTACATTTCTGCACTATGTGGGCATTTCTACAAATATTGTGCAATGCATCGCGGAATACAGCCGACTGAACTATGTTGGTCATAGGAGGTGACCAAATGGATCGTTCCTCTCAATACTGATCGCTAGATTGTCTGGTCCAGACTTGATTATTTACACAAGACCATCCTATAGCTGGAATATGTCAGAGTGAGGAGTTTCTAAAAAATATTCTAAGCAGTTGTGTTTGTGTTGCTTAGTATGGAAACTTCCATTGGAGAAGTTTCATGTCATATTTTTGTTATTTGTATAAATGTTCATATTGTAGGATATATCTGTTCTCATTCATGATGGATCAATAATCTATTATTGATCACTGATTACCAATCTGGAAATATTGACCAATTCCAAACACCAGTCACGGTTTTCAAATATTATTTCAGGTGCTCCAGGACAACCAGCCCCCAACCAGGGGTATGCCCAGCTCCCAGGACAGCCCGGCTACGGGTATGGCCCACCTCCAGGTCAGCCCGGGTATGGCCCGCCTCCAGGTCAGCCCGGGTATGGCGCTCCACCTGGATATGGTGGTCAGCCCGGGTATGGCGCTCCACCGGGATACGGAGGTCAGCCCGGGTATGGCGCTCCACCCCAAGCAAGTAGGTTTTTTGTTTGTTTAACTTTAAGATGGTTGTATATTGCAATATTTTATAGTGTGAGAAAGGATGCTGCTCTGTGATTGTTTCTACTGAAGGTCAATCATACAGGCTTGAAAACCCTTGATTTTTTGGGGTCATTCTTGAAAAGCCTTAATTTTTAATGTCAACCTAGAAAAGCCTTGAAAAAACCAAAATAGCTTGAAAAGCCTTGAATTTGTACAAAATGACCTGCACTTGTTTATGAAGTATTAAACATCATGACTTTATTTATTTTATTTGTTGGTTGTGAAAGTAAATCTTGTTGGAAACTTTGTGACTTTCATACTGCCTTTTAGGTCTGATGACTTCATGACTAACATATAGTATTTAAATAAATATTGACAGACCAAGGCTAATAACCCAACTAAAAAAGCCTTGAAACTGAAGGTTGAAAGCCTTGAAAAGGTCTTGAATTTTAGTGTTCCATATCTGTATTAACCTTGAAACAGCATTTCTACCACATTTGTAACCGGGGTTGTGATGGCAATAAGAAGGTCCAACACAGGCCACGGGTGTGAGTCTTTATTGCCTTAGTAATATAGTGACACCCTGTAATGTACAAAACAATAGTGAGTGAGTGAGTGTGGTTTTACGCCGATTTTAGCAATATTCCAGCAATATCACGGCGGGGGACACCAGAAATGGGCTTCACACATTGTACCCATGTCGGGAATCGAACCCAGGTCTTCGGCGTGACGAGCGAACGCTTTAACCACTAGGCTACCCGACCGCCCCTACAAAACAATAAGATTATAAAACAGTAGTACACAGGTTTGGTACACACATATATTAATACAATACAAAGCGACCTTTCAAAACATAGTCTATATTCATTACATCAACATGAGCTTAATAATCAATGATATATAAAATCATTATCTTAACCCTGAAGTAAACAAACGATTTGTCAGGGGCGATAACTCGATCCCGACATTACTGATAAGATTACAATATATAGATGGTCCATGGTTCTAAAATACAATGAACATTACAAATACAATTACCACTTTGTTGAAACTACTATATTAATTCATTAACTGATCATACATTTGGTATGATACACTATTTACAAAATATATTTTTCATGACATGACAAACATGTAAATTATCGGTAACCCGTGTGGGTGACACTGGGGTGTTTGTCCTCTCCAGGCAGCCGCCTTGCGTAGCTATGTAGCTATCAGCACACTCCTATTTCCAGAATCAACTATGAATAAATATAACAAATAGAATACAATTGAGGAAATATAACTAACTACAAACTATCATACAATGATTGACATTGCATACAAATTCAGTATTTACACAATGATAAAAATCAACGCATTCACTCAAACATTCACACACAGAAAGAAGAAGGATGAAAAGCATTTATCGTGTTTACTTAGCCTTTTTTAATTATTAACTTAGCAATATGGTGACACAATCACCATACCAAAGATAAGCATGTTAATAATACTGAAATAACATTCCACATAACTTAGATAACATAAGTTATATTATTATATAAATACATACATAGATATTAGCTAGCAATTTTATAGATTACTAACCTTAATAATCGAATTATTTATCCCAGATCTGTCCAAGTCCAAATTGTTGACTGACTTCTGAATTGGTGTAGTGTCAAGTGCAAGATGGATGAAAAGTGCACAGTTTGAACAAGCCAATGAAAAACAAGGCTTGGGTTAGAACAAAGAGAAGAAACAAAGACACAAACATGGACCAACCCAACCACCCTCTACATTATAAGTAAACTAATCCAGAAGCCCATAATAGATATTGAATTAAGAACCTACTTTCCTAACAACTTTAAATAATATTACAAACCTAAAGGACCTCAAATAGATAAAACATATGTACAACAAAACTGTATGTTAACACTTGTGTCTGCCACATTTAGCTGACATGGGAGAGGTATGATTGAAACACTATTTCAGTTATAGTAGACCAAACTCCTTCTTATTGCAGTGATGCCAGGTCAGAGGCCCCCTGTGCAGTGGATGTCTCGGCCTGAAGCTATTCCAGGGTGTCCCCCCGGACTGGAGTACCTCACCCAGGTGGACCAGCTCTTGGTTCAGCAGCAGATCGAGATCCTCGAGAGTCAGTGCAATAGTGTTTCTATTTCTTTTTAAACAACCAGGGGGCACGGTTGGCCCAGTGGTGTAAGTTGCTGCAGTTGGCTGTGCAGAGTTGCGTTCCTTGGGCATGCCAGAAACCTATGATCATGGGTTCGAATCCCGGTTTGCCCTATTATGTTTCTAGGTTTGTCAGCACCATACCCGTGCTTCTGGGTTTCACCGAACTGGAAAATGTCTTAGACCTGCAGCAGTTCCTCCCACATTAAGCTGATATTACTGGAATACTGTTCAAGGCGGCGTTAAACCCAACTCACTCACTCCTAAACTACTAAAGACATTTTAAAGAGTTTGCACACACAAGGCCGAACTCTTTTCACAAGCTCGAGGTTTTTTATTTTCAACCAAAAACTTTAGGATACCTTATCATCAATCTCATTAAAAACAGATCTTAGTTCATGCTATCGCTAAGCCAAGGTCTGAGGACATCCCATTACGGGTCACGTCAGAACAACCTTTCATCCGACCAATCAGAGTGTCGCTTACCAGATCAGGAAAGTGATAGTCGAAATGTGTTTTCTAATCATGCAACCTCGAAAACATTAACACGGGGTATTCAGGATGACAGTTACGGTCCATACGACTGATTCCGTCAAAATTATCGTCTATCTCGCTTCCATGGGATAAACATTTGAATGGAGGAGGCATTGCATAGTATGTGGGAAGCACTGCCATACAATCTCAACCATATATTAGACATTCCGAAATGTTCGTTTGTTCAGTTTTCAAAATTTTGATCGAGAAATGTGTCAACATATTTTTCAAGCGTAGTCTGAAATGGAAGTCGCCAGTTGAAACGAGTGTTGTAAATCTCGAGAAAGCTGCTTTCTAATTGGCTTTTGTCGACTTCTTGTTAGTCATTTCAGTGGTCGGTCAAAGTTTGCGAAAGGTCATTCTGACGTGACCCGTAATGGGATGTCCTCAGATCTTTGTCTAGTAGCGGCAGCGAGAACTAAGATCTGATTTTAGTGAGATTGCCTTATCATGAGATAGTTGTGGTATAAAATAAATTCAATGACAGCAGGCAAGAGTTTGACCACTTGCAGCATTAGACAAGTTAAGTCATGACATGTAAAATTGAACAACCTTTCATCACATGTCTCAGCAGCTCAGTGGGAAAACAGTGGGTTACAAAACTATACATGACATGTGAGGCTGCATGTTCGATTCACTCCATGGAATTTTCATGTGAAATAAGTTTTGACAAATATCAGCATTTTAACAGGGTTATTATACAAGTCTCAGCAGGTTTCACTTGAAGGTACATCTTCCCGAGGCAAGGGAGTTAACTGACTAAAACTAGTCCAATCAGCTTCCTTGCCGAACTAGGCTGGAATTATGGAGTTAAATTTTGCCTGCACTAATGTGTCTATGCATAGTCATAACCAAAATCAAGTAAAAGAAATCAATATCTGGTTCATAAATAACATGGTGACTGCCGTGCAGATTTCGGTCAGTTTCAGGATGTGCAGAGCATGTGTATTATCAACTAGGTGGTGAGAGATTTTGTCCAAATCTTTTCATGCTTTTTAATCTAAGTACTTACGGTAAGTGAATTAAAGATCTTGTTTATCGATCAGATCGTCTTGAAGCAAATTTTGTTTGAAGCAAATGCAAGTGATATATGAGAGGTGGAATCTGATTGGTCAATATGAGGGACATAGAAGGGACACAACTTGTAATAGCCACTGGTGACTAGGGCTGGGACGAGTCCAAATTTACTACCCAGGTACCCATGCCCCTATTACCCGACCCTACCCGGGTACCCACCCCCCTATTACCTGATCCTACCCGGGTACCCACCGTAGGTCTCAGGAGATGTCTCAAAATGTCCGATTGGGATCATTTTTAGCATAGCCCTGGCAAAACATATTTAGATACATGTATTAAACAATCTGGTCATTCATACACTGAACATACAGTTGAATTAAGTTATATCTTTATTCAACCATATGAAAAATCAGAAGGAATTGGTGCATAGTCAGTAAGAAATGCGAACATTAGTGACTTGTGGTGTAACCACAGAGATCAAGATAATTATTGTCATTAAACTATATATCACATGACTAACCACGGGTCAGGGTAGTCCTGAGGGTACCCGGGTCCTACTCAGTACCCACCCGACCCGGGTACCCAAGTTACCCGTCCCAGCCCTACTGGTGGCACTATGATCGAGCTATGAAATTCCTGCCTTGTTTAGCAATGGTGGGAACTGGACCTTTACAGTCAGTTAGCTCCCTTGCCTCGGGTAGATGTTGAAGTGGTACAGGCCTCTCACAAAGTTACTATGAGATAGCAAAACACCAACATTACAACAGGCAAAATTGGCAGTATGTTGATGAATAACCTGAAGATTAAGTAACTGAAGTTTAATGTATTTCATTTCAGTGATAACTGGATTTGAGACGGCTAACAAGTATGTAATACGGAACAGTCTGGGTCAGCAGGTCTATTTTGCTTCTGAAGGTGAGTTAAGATCAATGTAGATTGTTATACCTCTATTTAGAATCTTGCAATTCCGTTGGTTAATCCGTACCATGTGATGAAACACTACATTTCAATGTAGACCCCCATATCATGTGACTGACACTGACCTCGAATACTGACTCGTCAATGAATATTGACTAGTCTGCTTGAAAACAAGATGACGTCTGGTCCTAACATGTCACTGTTCGCAGTGAGGTATCTTTATGAAACGGAGGACAGTTTAAAGGCTTCATTAACTTTAAAGTGAATTATGGGATAACAGTGATCAGGTGACCCCTTCGGACCCAAGCCCTTCAAACCTGACTCCTTCAGACCCGACCCTTACAAACCTGACCCCTTTTGGGCCGGTCCCCTCAAATCCGACCCCTTCGGGCCTGTCCCCTTCAGGCCCGTCCCCTTCAAATCTGACCCCTTCAAACCCGTCCTCTTCAAACCCGACCCCTTCAAACCTGACCCCTTCAAACCCGACCCCTTCAAACCCGACCCCTTTGGGCCCATCCCCTTTAAACCCGACCCCTTCAAACCTGACCCCTTCAAACCCAACCCCTTCAAACCCAACCCCTTCGGACCTGTCCCCTTCAAACCTGACCCCTTCGAGTAAGAAAATTATTGATTACGCCACCTGATGAATTCATTTTGTAAAAACTAAGCAAAAGATAGGAATTTTCAACACACCGTATATAGCCGTCTATAATACGAGCCCGCCTAAATACAACCCAGGTGTAGAAATTGGTGCTGGCTGCTTGGCAATCACCCGTCACTTTTGTCATTTGCACTTTCCCCAAGGATGTTAAAATGTCAAATAAAATACATGAAGACGTCAGATATCTAACCATGAGGTTGCTGTTTCAGAATCGGATGCCTGCACCAGACAGTGTTGTGGGCCTCAGAGAGGTTTCACAATGCACATCACTGACAACAATAGTCAGGTGAGCTTCAAACGGAAGACATTTGAAAACAAAATAAATTTCGTGTGCATTGATTTTAGTGATCACGGACATTAAGATATGATAACGCTTTATTATCCTGAAGGAAATTTGGGTTATATCAGCACAAGGTCTCCGCTTATTGATAAACACATATACAAACATCTTCCTGTGGCAAGAGTGTCCACTAGCCTTTTTATCAAAGTCTTGTATCCACCCTTGCCACATCAAGCTCACTTTCCTGTGCTAAATATGCACATATCGATAGTCTTATCAGAGAACGTTTCACAAAATCAACATCCGCGACTGGTTCACCTTTGTATGAAGGTCATTTACCGCTGCCTGTCTTTGTTGACACAAATATGTTTTTCCTCTTAAACCCCCCCCCCCCCCCCCCCAACTATTGCCTATGTTTATGTGTCTGGGATGAAATCGTGAATGTTTTCGTTATCTGATCGACTAGGTCATCGCCTATTGTAGTCACCATCTTTGTGAAGCTATATGAGATAAGAACAGCGAGCTGATTGGATATCGTGTTTTCATTACAAAGGGCTCATAATCACGCCAGGGTAGAGCCAAGGAAAGTGGCCTTGACGTGGCAAGGGTAGAAACTAGGCTTTGATATAGGCTAGTGGACACGCTTGCCTCGGGAAGTGACATACAAATAAATAAGAACATCACAAAGGTTATTGACATTAAATGTGTCACCAACGAATAAATGCACAACTATTTATCATAATACTTATAATTTTTTTATAATCAGTTGACTTTTTTTAATGATGATAGTATAGACTTATTTACAGTCAGCGTGTGTATATATTGTGTATGTTGTTAATTGAAATTAAGGTAGTTGACTTTATTAAAGCATGCATATTGTAAGAAACTTACGTAGAGAAACCACTGTCATATTTATTTGCATATATTACCCATAAGGCCTTTGCGTAGAATGATCATGTGCAATAACTAATCTCATTAAAATCAGATCTTAGTTCTCACTACTGCTAAACAAAGATCTGAGAACATCCCATTATGGGTCACGTCAGAATGAACTTTCATCTGACCAATCTGAACGTTGCTTACCAGGTTAGGTTTTAGAGAATATTCATGACACACTACTTAGGGACTCGTCATTCATTAAAGGATTGAGGTTGGGACTCTATCATATTTTATTGCCCCCCATTCCCCCAACCCCCACCCCCATAGGTCCAGATATATTTTCGAGACACCTCCCCCCACCAAATCTCAGAAACACAGGTCTGTGACAGTGTGTTGAGTACTGCTCTGCGTCTGTTGTTAGGAAGTGATCCGGGTGCAGCGTGAGTTCAAGTGTTGCGCCGGCTGGAACTGCTGTGCAAATGCCGACGGATGTGCACACCTCTGCAGTATCGAGGCCCCTGTGGGACAGCTGGTTGGTTACGTCAGACAAATGTGAGTAGTTTCAAGGGCTACAAAGTGTTGTTATACCTAAGGGACTCGATCATAGTGTGGGCTGGGGGGGGGGGAGAATGGTCTTAGGACTATATCATATTTTGCTGACACCCCCCAATCAGTTTATGTAACATTTTATGTAGGATTTATAGTTAAATTTCTATATTAATTAGCTTCAAATTAATCATGTGACTCGAAACATTCCACATGTGCATTGTGGGGCCGAGCTAACACATGCAAACAAAGCCGAAATATGCTGTCGCTGGTTATTGTGATTGTCATACTTTTTGAGCATTTTACACGCTCACTCAGTCTCTCGCTCAGTCTCTCGCTCAGTCTCTCGCTCAGTCTCTCGCTCAGTCTCTCGCTCAGTCTCTCGCTCATTCTCTCACTCAGTCTCTCACTCAGTCTCTTGCTCAGTCTCTCACTCAGTCTCTCACTCAGACTCTCACTCAGTCTCTCACTCAGTCTCTCACTCAGTCCTTCACTCAGTCTCTCACTCAGTCTCTCACTCAGTCTCTCACTCAGTCTCTCCCTCAGTCTCTCCCTCAGTCTCTCGCTCAGTCTCTCACTCAGTCTCTCGCTCAGTCTCTCGCTCAGTCTCTCACTCATTCTCTTACTCACTCACTCACTCACTCACTATTCTGTACAGGAAGAGCTGCATGGAGCCTCGCTTTGCCATCATGGACCCGAACATGGATACGATCCTGACCATTGTTGGACCTGGGTGCATAATCCAAGGTCCTTGCTGTACACAAGACCAGGAGTTTGTGGTAGGTCAGGCACATTTTTAATGTGGTACACACCGATGTAAGGAAGACGAGGCACATTGGTGAAATATGGGCTCCCACATACTAGGGATATCCCAAGAGTTTCGACAGATAGTTTGTGTTGTACTCTGGGTATGTGTGAATGTACAGAGATAAGGCCCTCAGTGTCCCTTGTGGAGATTGCAGGGGAGAATAAGTCCCCGGTATTCCATTCTCGTCCCTCGTGGAGATTGCAGGGGAGAACAGGCCCAAGTATCCCGTTTTGCCTTTTGCGGCAAGCATGAGTTGCTGAAGACCTTCTACTCCGGATCTTCACGGGTCTGTTTGCTTGTTTAGGTATCATCAGCCAATGAGGAGAATCAAGTCGGAAAGATCTCTAAGCAGTGGAGCGGATACCTCCGAGAGGCCTTCACTGATGCTGACAACTTCGGCATTTCCTGTGAGTTCCTGTCATTATTACTGTACTTCCTCTATTGGATGGCTTCTACATGTATTAGAGGCTTACCTTACCAAATCCCAAATCTAAATCTACACGGGTACATTTTCAGGAAACGGTCACCAACATATCACAGTATTAGATGCCTGGTGTAAGACATCAGTGACCAAGACAGATGTAGGACATCAGTGACACTTAAATATGTCTGACTCAACATGTGTTTGAGTACAAGGGAGATTTTAGATTCCAATCAACTTGACATGCACAACATGGACCCTAGTTAAGTCAACCTGCATAAGTATTCTATGATACCTGGCTTCTATTCTTTGGACAGAGCATATGAACCCATGTCCATCGAGGCTGTGGGGGATTTGACAGAATTGTATTGCCGTCACTGCATTTTGTATATATAATGATGACTAATACAGAAATGTGGGCCACGTAACAACTAGACCTGTTCATTGTAACCATAGAGTTATCTCCCTTTCAATGCTAGAACAGACAACTATCCCAGAATCTGTAACAACGTAGGGCCTGAAGTGTATAACAATTTCATTCAAGGATTGACCTTGGAATTTTTTTGGTTCATTGAGGTCTGAATCGAAAAACCAATATGCAAACTGTATGAATCCGCATGACCAATTCAGCTTATCAGATTGCAGGAATTACAATGAACACAACGAAGATTTGATTATATGCAAATGGCAGTAACTTATGCCTTGAAAAGACCTTGAATTTTGTGAGTGATGTCACTGTCTCTTCTGTTGTGCAGTTCCCATGGACCTGGACGTCAAGATGAAGTCCGTCATGCTGGGAGCAGTGTTTCTCATTGTAAGTTCATATACCGGGAATTTAAAACTAGGTGTCCCTGGCATGCAGTTCATATACCGGGGATTTAAAACTAAGTGTCCCTGGTATGCAGTTCATATACTGGGGATTTAAAACTAAGTGTCCCCGGCATGCAGTTCATATACTGGGGATTTAAAACTAAGTGTCCCTGGCATGCAGTTCATATACTGGGGATTTAAAACTAAGTGTGCCTGGCATGCAGTTCATATACTGGGGTTTTAAAACTAAGTGTCCCTGGCATGCAGTTCATATACTGGGGATTTAAAACTAAGTGTGCCTAGCATGCAGTTCATATACTGGGGATTTAAAACTAAGTGTCCCTGGTATGCAGTTCATATACCGGGGATTTAAAACTAAGTGTCCCTGGTATGCAGTTCATATACTGGGGATTTAAAACTAAGTGTCCCCGGCATGCAGTTCATATACTGGGGATTTAAAACTAAGTGCCCCTGGCATGCAGTTCATATACTGGGGATTTAAAACTAAGTGTCCCTGGCATGCAGTTCATATACTGGGGATTTAAAACTAAGTGTCCCCGGCATGCAGTTCATATACTGGGGATTTAAAACTAAGTGTCCCTGGTATGCAGTTCATATACTGGGGATTTAAAACTAAGTGTCCCTGGCATGCAGTTCATATACTGGGGATTTAAAACTAAGTGTCACCGGCATGCAGTTTATATTCCAGGGATTTAAAACTAGGTGTCCCCGGCATGCAGTTCATATTCCAGGGATTTAAAACTAAGTGTCCCTGGCATGCTGTTTGGGTAAAAAGTTATTTTATCCACAAGAGGGATATTTTAATTTTCAAAGGTACTTTAACATTGTATTTTAAGATTGCATTCAATGAAATAATATAAAACTAAGTATTATGACCCCTTTCTCTTTATTGGTGCTATTGACAGTGAAATACAGGTTACTGCCCGTAAGCCAGAAATTAGGTATTAGTGTATTACCTGATTTTGGAAATTTATAGTTCCAATTAAGGAGTTTTTAATTACACCTGCTGCAGACTTGGGCTGAATATCGGCCTCTGACTAGGTCTAGATAAACCCCTGTATGCACAGAGAAAGGGGTTGATTGTGTGCCATCGTAGTGTGACCATACCCCAACAGCTTGCTCATATCAATCTCTTGATTATCTGGTCCAGACTTGATTATTTTCAGACCGCCTTCAAATAGCTGGAATATTGTTGAGTGCGGCATTAAACAACATAAAAATGCTTGGAACAAATATATGGAAAAGTTAATATGGAATATATGGAAAAGCAACAAAACCATTGATGGATATCTCCATGTGGAAACTTAAGTCGTTTAGCTATCGATCTTTTGAAGTGGTGGCTGGTAGAAAATGGAATGAAATTTCAGAATCCATGAAAGACATCAAATCTCTGTCCTTATTCAGATCGCAGCTCAAAACATCTGATTAATAAAAGTTACAATCTATGCCTGGGCCCCTTCCACAGAGCGATCTTAGGGCTACGACTGTCGTAAGCCTATGTAAAAGTATGGAAGTTACGATCATCTTAGTGCTAAGTTAACCTTGTGGAATGGGGCCCTAGTGCTATTAAGGAATCCCAAACAGGACTCAGGCAGCCAGTTATGGTGTGTGTTATCCATGTCAGTACTATGTACTAACTAGCAAACCATTTTCCTGAGGCAAGGGAATTAACTGACCATGAAAGTCCAGTTTCCACCCTTGCCGAACTAGACTGTCGTTATGTGTGACTGGACTTAATGAGTCTATGCATGGTCCAATCAAAAGCATGTAACGGAATTGACATCTGGTTCATAAACTGCTGTGCAGATTTCCATCGATTACAATATTTGCAAAGCATGTGTACCGCCGACTCGTCAACAGATATTTTCCAAATCCTTTCCTGTTTTTAATCAAGCTGCTCAATTGATTTGATCCATTTTGCGAAGTAAGACCTGTTTTGTTACAATATAGGTCTTTATTATTGATCAGATCGTGTTCACTGGGCTGTGCCATTTTGTTTGAAGCAAATGCAAATGATATGAGAAGTGGAATATTGACCAAACTCGTAATGGCCACTGGTGGCGCTACGATCGAGCTATGAAATTTCAGCCGAGTTCGGCAAAGGTGGAAACTTGACTGTTACCTCGGGAGGATGCTAGCAAACTGACCATGAACATTTTTCAGGAACAGTTGAATTATAATTTTTAAAAGAATTATATTTATTATGCTCTCATTTGTTCTCCTCTGTTCCAATAGGACTTCATGTTCTTCGAACACAACCAAAACAACAACAACAGGAACAGGTACTAGCGGAACGACAGAACTACAGAACATTTACACCTGTCCAAGGAGCTTCATGGAAGAAACCAGAGCATCAAGACAGGATTTGCTCCACATAAAGCCTAAGATTTGTGGGAATGATAACCGTTGTAAATAACATACCCGTTGAAACCACACCAAAGAACCATATTAGCGTCAACAAATGTTAAAAAAACACATAGCTTTCTACCATTTTTCAGCGGACCAAAAATATTTATAGTTATACATTTGTTTCTGTTTTTATACATAGTTATACATGTTTTAAAGTGCTAGCTCACTGAGATAACATGCCCCAGTTTAACATGGATTCTCTACTCAGACGTGGTATACAGAGTCCGAGCTGGCCAGTCCTTGTTTTATCCCTTTAAGGTCAAGTGTTGGGCAGGGTTACAAGCATCTTTTAATGTATTTTGGTATGATGCAGCCGTTGATCAAACCACCGGGCCTTACGCTCTCCATGCAGACATTCTATCCATTTGACCACGGAGGCACTAGACCCTAGGACACCTTTAACATTAGACAAACGGAGTTGGGCCGACAGGCTTCTGTCAATCTGCACCGCTGGTTTGCTATTTTGTCTCCTCACCTGGAGTAACAACAGCAGCATTGAAACCAGACTCTTGTTTGGCATCGTGGAGTTAAATCTAGTTTTCTGTGAAATGAACTTTTACATTCCAGGTACAAGTCAAATATCATTCCTTAGTAGATAGGAAGGGAAACTGTGATAACAATTATTATATACTTTGGTAGTGTTGAGTATTGCCATTTGTATTGTCTCTATTACCATGTCTGTATTTAAAGAATAACAGACAAGAGCGGATCCAGCATTTTTAAAAGGGAGGGGTCGAAAATATCAAAATCCTCTCTCAGATAATTTTACTGCCAACACCATAGGGCTGGGACGAGTTCAAATTAACTACCCGGGTACCCACCCCCCTATTACCTGACCCCACCGGGTACCCACTGTAGGTCTCAAGATAGAGGTACAAAATGTCTGATTGGGCCCGTAGCCCTGGCAAAATGTATTTAGATACAAGCATTAAATAATCTGGTCATGCAGACACTAAAGTTGACTTTAGTATTGTCTTTATTCAAAAACATAAAAGTCAGAATGAATGTGTGCATAGTTAGAAATAAACTGTGAACATTTGTGACTTGTAGTGTAAACATAGAGTTCCAGATAAGTTTTATCCTCAAACCATATATCCCCTGACTAACCATGGCTCCGGGTGGTCCTGTGGATACCCGGGTCCTTCTCAGTACCCACCCGAGTACCCGAGTACCCGAGTACCCGAGTTACCCGTCCCAGCCCTACTACAACATACTACGTTGGTTTTCAAAGATGGGGCTCTGGATCTGCCCAGGACAGAAACTGCATTGCTTCTATACTGAAAGTGTAGCAGTCCTGTAATGGACAGTTTAGTAGTTGGTTTGACTGCTACATATTTAGATAAAAACAGAACAAAAAAGTTAGGGAGCATGAATACTTTTCGGGATATTTTTGTAGTGAAGACAGCACTCAATTTCATTAAAATATCCCCCAAATATTCATGATCCTTTATGTTTTTGTTCGGTTTATAGTTACTCATGTATCAGTTCATGTTTATATTCTGTATTGATTTGCCAAAGAGCATTATTGCCAATTGTTTGCAAGATGATGACAATTAGGGTTGATGTTACCTTGAATTCGCCTGTCACCACACAAAGTTGTGTCTGCCCAAAGACGTTCACCACAATATTTGTGCAGAGAGTAAGTTAAGCTTCGATGGGTAAAACAAGGAGACAATAAGGAGAGACAAGCTTACAGAATATCCCACATGGTAACATTTTCAGATACAATAAGTCTTGAAGAACCATGACAAGAATTGGTTTTGTCTGAAACATATTTGTTCCACCAAAGTGTCTTTTTTCATGTTTTTTATTTTTCTCTTAGAATGTATTCTTTCGACATCTGCAAACCAAGAAAAGGGTTGAGGCATTAATATATTGATGTATCATGTTTTGCATATAGGTTACAGGTGTCATTAGTGGGATAGACATATTTTTTATTTTGAATGTTTGTGTACAATGTTTGTGTGGAAATACGATCTTTCTTGTGGTCTGCCATTGCAAAAACAGTCCAATGATTTGTTTGTTTGTTGTTTAACGCCGCACTCAGCAATAATCAAGTCTGGACCAGACAATCCAGCGATTGACTTAATGAGCATCGATCCATGCAATTGGGATACGATGACATGCATCATCCAAGTTAGAGAGCCTGTCCACCTGATCCTGTTAGTCACCTGTTAGACAAGCATAGTCGCCTTTTATGTCAAGCATCGGTTGCTGTAGACCTGTTCCATCCCAATGGTCCAGTCCAATAAGCAAGGGTGTATACAGCATGTTGAAGATAGAGGGGCCCAAAATCCCCTCTGCCTTCAACATACATGGTTTTATATTTGGGGGGTCAAATAAGACTGACACACTTTGATTAACTTTGATTACGGAAGTTTGGAACAAGGCATGCTATTGCTTGTTATTGTAGTCAAGATTCGACTAGGGGAGGTAACTCCTGATGCTGTAATCCAGCATTAATGGGGAACAAGCAGTGATTTTGTTCGTTGTTCAATAATGAATTGACCCATGAAGATCCGGGATAGAATAGGTCTTCAGCAACCCATGCTTGCCGTAAAAGGTGACTATGCTTGTCCTAAGAAGCGACTAACGGGATTGGGTGGTCAGGCTCATTGAAACATGTCATCGTATCCCAGCTACGTAGATCAGTGCTCATGATGTCAATCACTGGATTGTCTTGTCCAGACTCAATTATTTACAGACCGCCGTCATATCGCTGGAATATAGCCGAGTGTGGCCTTAAACAACAAACAAACAAAACAAAAGCAGTGATATTTAAATATGTGCTTGCCTAGGGGAGGTAACTCCTGAGCTGTATTGCAGCATTAATGGGGAATAACAGGGTATGAAACTCCCAAAAATTTCAGCCAGACCACAGGACTGGCTAGCTGAAATACTTGCCAGCCCTGACCAAAACCTGCCTGCCCACTATAATCATATGTTTCTCAGGATAAGCTAACAGGGTTTCTTTTTGGTTACATTTTATCATTCATCTTTACATGTGAATTAATGCTTATCATCGGGAAATATTTTGAATATTTTCACATATGAAATATAACCCGACCGTCGGGCAGGGGGATTTGAAAATCTGGCAGCCTGAGTTGAAATCAACCCGTCTCGGACGGTCGGGCAGGCAGGTATTTCGAACACTGGGAATAAGCAGTGATTTTGTTTGTATTTAACTCTGCACTCCCCTGTACTCTAGCCATATGACATCGGCCTGTAAATAATTTAGTCTATGCAAGACAATTCAGTGACTGATATTATGAGCAACGATCTGTGCCATAGTGACCCTTTGACATGCTCCCAACCAAGTAGTGGAGCCTGACCACGTGGTCCACCAAGTTGCTGCTTTCAGGGACCAATTCTAAACAGGACTCCCCAGAGAGAACAAGCATTGATCAAGTTGTAAATGCTTCTAAGAGTTGAAATTTCTCTTGAAATAGTATTTCTTTACATATGGTATTGAGGATATATTTTTCTATCATGGACGTGCCTGTGCGAGGTCCCTGTTGTTTAGGGATTATCGTGATTATGCTTCAATAATTCCTTTGTGTCCTTATTGGTGCATGTGTGGCGCAATCAGCGTAGGCGCCACAATTCACTGTGCTGAATATATGACCTTTTTCCACTGATGTTTCTTCTGTGAAGTGATGTGTAATATACACAAGAAACTATGGACTATCTTGTATGTTTTCATGCTACGGGGCGCTTGTGAGAATTACTTACAGTTTGGTCTGGTAGTTGCTAAAGGAGCGCTTTTTTGGGATGGGCCCTTAATACAGTGAGTAAAGTATTTTTGAAATGTACTATTATTGTTTACATTTATGAAGATCAGACTAGAGTCAACTGTAGTCTCAGTCCCCGAACCATATTATTTTCCCTTTTGCCAGCTCTTGCTGAAATGCTACAGCTCTAAATAAAGCAAGTCTAGATTCTTCACAGGTTTTGGATCTGATTCTCCCATCTCAATGGGGCTCCCTTTCAATTTGTATGGGGTTCCTGGTTTCTATCCAAATTATGTATTTTCAGGGACTAAGTGCTAGTCTAGATCAAGTCTAAAACAAGAAATAACCTGTCTAGCAAAGAAAATCAAAATGACCATATCTATTTTGCTGTCATATTTTTTAGTTTTGTTTGATCCCATTATACAGTAAACTACGTTTATAACGAACACGCTTATAACGAACTGACGGATATAACGAACTTATTTTTTAGTCCCGGCCATTTGGTGTATATATGCTGTTTATATGCATATAACGAACTACGGTTATTCCGAACTAAAATTAGTAGTCCCTTTGAGTTCGTTATAACGTAGTTTACTGTACAAGCTAAAGATAATCATATTCCTCAGATGAAATTGTTATAATGTTATAATGATCATGCAGATGTGTTCATTTTTCAGTTAGTCTGACCTGTGATATTTTATTTTCAATTTTAGTTTTCGTGTTTTTTCGTATATGTTTTAATGTACTTAGTTGTGACAAATGTGCCTTTTCTCAGCTTACCTTGAAATATTTGTTTGTTTGCTTGTAGGGGTGAGGGTTGTGGCTTTATGTGTTTTCTCAAATTTGAGTTCTCAGCCATATGCCAGATGTTAGCGACATCTCTGACGTGTGATTGGATGGCATTGAAGGTCAAGGTCACATGGTCATAACAAGGCTTCACAAAGGTACTCGATAACTTAAGTATTTCTGATGAAAATAATTAATGCTATAGTATCTACAAGTTTGCTTTGGCACACTTAGTTTGGGTGATTAAGTAAGGATAAGAATTTATGGATGAACAACTTCTTTATTACAATAAAGAGCCACGTTTCAGAACGGGATTATGGCCGATTGGGGTCTTTGATGAGTTGATGGTACGCCTTGGTCACAGTTGATTGACGGCTGGAGTCTTTTGATGTTGATGTCATTTTGGGGGATGTCGTTTTGGGTGATGTCGTTATATGTTCTATTATATGTTTTTATTGTATATTACAAATCTGTGAAAGTAAGTTTGATTCTTATGTACCACGTGGCATCTTGTGACCAGAGCTGAAGGTGCGATGGGTCAGAATGCAGTGCTATCATAATCTGACTTTTAATAGTGATTGAAATGAAAACAAAGGACCTGTATAAGGGGCAGATTAATTTTAGGCTAGATGAGTCAGGAGATTAATAAATTTATGTTAAAACGGTGTTTTAAATATTACTTTATTGCCACTGGACCAAATATGCAAATTGCATTGTCTTACGAGATGTTATGATGTGATAATGTTGTGTCAGTATGCTGTTTTGGTAACTGTCAATCTTTGGAAAAGGCAGCAACTCATGGTTTTTAGCTCAATTACAATTCGACATATATTTATCACCATTATTTCTTCATAGTTCAGGTGAGCTACAGAGCCCCATGGCTCCATTACTATACCTATATCATTGACTGTAGGCACCACAATTGTTTTCTGGTTTGGAAGATGTTCTTCATCAACATGCTAAGGGGACAGAGGAAAAAAACTGATTTGAGGCTTTTACTAAAAAAATGAATTTTTGATGAAAATAAAAAATCATTTTAAGAAAGTAGTTATTGTGAGTTACTTGTGTCAGGATTTAAAGAGCTGAATGGTGTACGTAAACTTTCAGTTATAAAATCTGGTACACCCTGCTTCTGTCACATTACAGATTTAGCGGTCCCTTTGAAATCAGATCTTTTACCTCGAAACGATCCCTTTGCATTACGATATGAGGAAGGTC